CTGTCTGCTGACTGTTGATTGCTTGGTCTTGTGAATTTTTGTGAATTTTTGAATACTGGTTGTTGTTAATAAATTTGAACCGCTAATGCAAATCCAAAATGAATAGAATATTATTTACAAATTCAATATTGAATTAACTTTGTAAAGTTGAAATAAAAAAATTGTTTCCTTTTTTCAAATATGAAACTAAATCCTTGTAATTAAAATATAACATTAAAATAAAACGTTCCTTTTGCCAACGTGTTATTTGACTTGAATCATCTCACTTTTTCGTGGTCGCAAGATGTGGGGTCGTCAATAATTTTTAATTCAATTTATATAAATATATATAGATATATATATTTATGTATATATATATATATTTAAATTTAAATAGGCACTTAGGTATAAGCCCATCATTACAGTGTGTAGTGAAATCGATTCGGCTGTAAATGGGTTTGGTACAGTTTGGAAAGCGATTGCTAAGCTACTTCCTCCGATCAGATAACATTCACTATGAAAAACTTTAGATGTAATTAAAAATATCGTCAGAGAAAAAGACATCTGATGCGGATGTGGCTAAAGTATAGATCACCCACAAGTAAATTCAACTTTTTGACGTCTAAACAACGCTTGAAAAATGCGTTGTTCATTGACATGGAAAATAGTCTGAACGCTTTCGTACGAAAAGTAACAGCTACAGAAAGTATGAACTATTTCCTATAGCGATTGGTAAGGTAATTAACAACACCTAAAGAGAGCATACCACCGCTCAGGCTAGCCTAGTCATATCTTCAGGACAGGTAATTTCATATTAAAGTTTGAAGTTATACAACAACTAATTTCGACATAAAGACTGGAGTTCCTCAAGGCAGTGTTCTAGGCCCACAACTTTACATGCCCTTTGTGAAAACCAAACTGAGTATCACTCATTTGTTCCTCGAGTTGTACTATTTGGTTCTTTTTGTGGATGAACCAAATACTGTTAATCTTCCTGCAGAATTGGGTCGTTTGCTTACCATCATATATTGGGTTTTACTGCAATTTAATTTTAAACTATATTTTCTGCACTTTAATGCAACAGCGTCTAAAAGTTTCTGTAAGCCCTCTATTGAGTCGGCAATAAGCACTGTATCATCGGCGTACCTCAAATTCTTTATAAGTACTCCGTTAACTATAATTCCATCTGTCGCATTGTGTAGTGCTTCTTTGAAAATAGTCTCCAAGTATATATTGAACGGTTATGGTAACAGAATGCACCCTTGGCGAACCCCGCGATTTATTTCTACTTCCTGCCTGAAGTATTTATCAATTGAAACATTTGCGTACTGTTTCCAGTATAAGTTTGCTATTATTCGGATATCCTTTTTATCTAATCTGCAATGTTTCAGAATTTCTATGAGTTTGCCATGTTCGCCAGTGTCGAAAGATTTTTCGTAATCAATAGAACATAAAAAGACAACTCTGTTAAAGTCACGAAAACGTTCTATTAGGACTTCTATTCCATACAAGGCTTCTCTAGTGCCAAGCCCTTTGCGAAAACCAAACTGAGTATCATTCATTTGTTCCTTGAGTTATGCATAAATTCTAATATGTATAATTCGAAGGAATATCTTTAATACATGACACATTAAGCTGACTGTTCTAAAATCTGCACATGTTTTTGGTGTAGCTTTCTTTGGAATTGTAATAAACGTAGATTGAAGCCAATCGTTTGGTATCTGGTCTGTATTATAAATTTTATTAAAAAATCTTGTTGAATTACGTACGCCATTATCTTTAAATAACTTCACCAATTCTGTTGGTATTTGGTCAAAACCTACCATTTGTTCTATTTTTGCACCATCAATTGCTTCTTGAACTTCATCCAAGGTTATATGTGGACCTGAATCAGCTCTTAGATCGGGTGTCACGGATGATCGGTTGCTCGCAAATAGATTTTGGATATAGTTTTCACACATACAAAGTGTTTCATCTTTTTCTGTGATGTATTTATTTTCGTTATTCATAAGTGTGCTTCTCTTTCTTCTATTAGATGTCGTCATATTTCTAATTTTCTTGTGTAAGTTAAATACATCGTATCTTCTTTAATACCCCTCTATCTCCTCACATTCCTTTATGTGAAACTTTTTTTTGCTTTTCTAATAAGAACACGTATAGATCTGTGTATATCCTTATATCTGCGAGTATCTTTATTTTAATACTGACTTCTTTCGTCCATTAATGCCAGGATTTCATCGGTCATCCAAATTTCTTTCCTTCTAGATTTGACCACGCCTACTTCATTATTTGCTACTTCCATTATTGTATTTTTAATTGTCATAGATATTTCTTTAATGGACATGTCATCGGGTTGTAAACTTAATAACCTCGTTTCAATTTCATTTTCAACTCACATCCTCAAATCTGGGCTTTTTAATTTCTGTATATTGAGTATACTCCTCGGTTGAGCTGAGCTTGTCGCTTTGAATTTAATGTTGATTTTAACAGCTAACAAGTTGTGATCAGATGGAACATCCGCACCGGGGAAGGTTTTTGCGAATTTTATTGAGTTCTTATATCTTTTACTTATTGTTATAAAGTCGATTTGGTTACGAATGACCCTGTTTGCTGTATCGGCTGGTGACTTCAAGGTATAAAGTCTTCGTTTTGACAGTTTAAAGAATTTATTGAAAATAATCAACTTATCACTTGTGCAGAATTCAGACAAACGATCATCTCTTTCATTTCTTTCGCCTACGCCAAATTTGCCAACAATAGCATTTTCCGTACCTTGGCCTTTTTTGGCATTGAAGTCACCCATAACCATCAGAACATCTCTTGACTTTGTACTTCTTATCAATGATTAAATTCTTTCGTAAAATATTTCAATTTCATCATCAGGAGCATCACATGTGGGTGCGTAAACTTGAATTATATTTAAATTTACTGGCCACCCCTCCATTTGCAACATTATTATACGAGCGGAATGATACACGACATTTGTTGCCAAATTTTTGAGTTCTTTTGCTATAATTACTACAACACCATGTTTGTTTTTTCTTCCATCATCGCCACTGTAGTACACACCATAATTGTCTATAGTACAGCTTCCGTGGTCTGGCCATCTCATTTCACTTATTCCCAAAGAGACTAACTTGCCGCAAACATCTTAAGGCTAAGCGAACTTAAATAAAACTAAAGGCACACAAAGTTTACTGGTTATTGAAGAATAACTCCAAGTTACGGCTAGACCACAAAATGTTGCTCTATAATAGTTTACTTAAGCCAATTTGGAAGTATGGCACTGAATTATGGGGCAATGCATATTACTCCAACATTGAAATAATTCGCTTAATTACTGGTGCTCCGTGGCATATGAAAAGCGATAAAATTTATGGGGATCTGAAAATACCACTCATCAAAGATGAACTCATTAAAATCAAATACAAATACAAATAAAAACTTGAAATTCATCCGAACCACCTGGCGAGGAATCTACTGCAAACCTGGCTTTCTTCAACATTACGTAGTTACAAAACTACTAAAACAAATAAACAACGGCAAATATTAATATAATTCGTTTGCATAAAAAAATACTTAAAGAAAATATATGTTCACTATATATTAAAATGTCATGTGAACATTTGCTTACGATAATTTGTTCACGTTTTTAATATTATTCCTTTATCAAGTCTCTTCACACATTCTTTATGATAGAATTTTAAACACTTCACAACTTCTTTGAAAGATCTTTCTTCTTAGTGTCCGTTTTCTCTAGTGAGGCATACGGCCACAACGATTCTCTTAAACCGCACTTTATTAGGAATTTCTCTGCATAGGTATGTCGTTCAATGTGTAGTGAGTTTCTGTCATTTCTCTTTCAATTTACCTGCCCCATAGACATAGTTCGCTCCATAGACATACTATGGGTCAATAAAACGATGTCATTGAAAAAGTCTAAATCTTGCAAGTGCTCAAATAGTCCTCATTAAATACTACAGGTGTTTTTAAGGGCCTATTTTAAAAAAATTCCGCCTAGAGTTAAAATGAATAGAATAGGTGACAGAATAGATCCATGTCGAACTCCCGTTTCAACAGCTATTGAGACTGCCAAATATTTTTTTGACGTCTAAGAAGACTGCATATATGGGTACTCGAAGCTCATTACATTATTCAAAAATGATTTTGAGGGTATTTATAACATCTACGCATGAACTGCTTCTCTAGAAGCCATGCTGGTTTTTCCATAAGTTTTTTTTCTGTAAATATGGTGACTAATTTAGTGGTAACTTAATAACAAAGTATTGATATGTGTTCTTATTAAAGCTCATATCAGTGTCTTAAAAAATACCTACTATTGAAACATCTGTCCAGCCCGATGTTGTTTGTGTGGGGCTACTAAGCTCGTCTTCATAAGATTTTTCAATTCCTCTATGCCTTAACTGTAGAAGCAGAGCTAAACACAAAATTTTGAATAAATTACAACAATTCTCTATTTAGGAATAAACGATCAGAAAGCCCTGCAAAATTTTAATTGGAGAAAACTTAAAAAAATCTCTTTTGGAAGTTAATATTGAAAAATCAACTAAAAATATATACTTAAAGTGCATTTTAAAAATATGTTAATGTTGACTTTCTCATACAACTATCCGATCGAAACAAATTATAAGTCCTTATTTTGTGGCCCATTGCATCATTTCAGTACAAATGACAAAATTTCTGATAATCAAATGACAAATTCATCACTAGGTAAAATGCAAAAAAGTTAAAATAACACAAATATTTTTTAGTAATTTCAGTTTCATTCTGTATTAGAGTTAATTCCATATAAATTACTCTTAACATATAGTATATAATGTATAACCACAAATTACTGAGAAATTGACTATAAGAACTTCCAGCATTGTCCTTTATAGACTTTCATGCTCTTAATAATTTGCTTAGCTTAACTAAAACGAAATAAGTAATTATGTACAAATGTATAATTGTTTCTGAGAGGAGATGATGATCGAAAAATTAAAGCTTTTCCAAATAGGTTATCAATGATGTGAATAATAGTGATGATGATTATCTTCGTGATGGTCATCGTGATGGTCATAGTGATGATCATCGTGATGTTCATAGGAGATCTTGGGAATTGGCACCTTGATATTGGTTGGTTTACGTTCAACCTTAGCTTCAAATCCTGTCTTTTTGTCTGCTTTGTAATGCACAATACGATGATGTCCATCGGAGTCGATTAGTTCATAATAACCTTCGACTTTGTGATCCTTACGAGATTCCTTTTGACTCTTAATGTCCTTCGTTTTAGGATCTTTCACAGAATAATGAAATTCATAATGTGCAGGACCATGATCGTGTTCCTCTTCGTGCTTATGGTCATCATATTTGTGTTCTTCATGTTCGTGACCATGACTGTAGCTGTAGTGGTGCTGTGCACTCGCCACTACGACTATACAGAACAGAATTGCTAAGATCTAATTAAAATAAGGAAATAATAAGTCAAAAGAATAATAAAACAAATTTCATTTTAGTCTCACCTTCCACGACATAATGAATTGAGCTCTATTTCCTTTCAACACCAAGTACTGATATGAAGTGAATACGTTCTCTAACTTCAGTTCAATTTATATAAAAATTTGTTTTAGACCTCCAGACATACCACTAAATATCTAAAAATTAACTTATGCTAACGCCTACTAACACTAATCCAGTCTAGTGTTTTTAATGTAAGTAGACCACACATTCACAGACCTCCTTGTATATATTGCACGCTTAGGTACTTGTGATCTTCAACAGTTTTGGATATCACAATGAAACGAAGGTGAAAATTGGATACAGCGTTCATGTGTGCTCTCTATGTTTGAGTTTTACGACTTCTAGAGTGCAATTGTATAAGTGCCTTGTCTACGTATGGTGCACATATGTATATACAATTTGACCTCAAATCATGCACACTCTGAACTGCCTTGCAGTTCGATAGCAACTTTTCATGTTTAGCAACAATTTAAGACCGTATGTTTGTTATCCAGTCTAGTCTGTAACCCGCCTTGTCGTTTATTACTGTCTGCTGACTGTTGATTGCTTGGTCTTGTGAATTTTTGTGAATTTTTGAATACTGGTTGTTGTTATAAATTTGAACCGCTAATGCAAATTCAAAACGAATAGAACATTATTTACAAATTCAATATTGAATTAACTTTGTAAAGTTGAAATAAAAAAATTGTTTCCTTTTTTCAAATATGAAACTAAATCCTTGTAATTAAAATATAACATTAAAATAAAACGTTCCTTTTGTCAAGGTGTTATTTGACTTGAACCATCTTGCTCTCGTCAGACTTTACGTACTAACTTCAGAACTCAAAAATGTCGTATATAGGATTTATTTATAATTATCATAATATATTGGTAAACTCTTTGTTTAGATAAGGGACTAATAATAGCTCCAATTTTAAAAGAAATTTTCCATATGCATTAAAACAATGTCTTTTGAGACCGCGCCGTATCTATATGGAATAGATACGTTTTATATATGTGTTATGTATAAAATGATACGATATATCATTATCATGCCTTTATATTTAACAAACAGATTTACAGTTAAAGCATTTTTCTCAATTCCGAAGCATACTTTTTGGAAATAAATAATAATATTAATAACAAACGCTTTTTTGCTTTATTAAGGTATACATATATTCCGTTGATATTTGTATGAAACCATTAACATAATGCGAGGGTTTCATTTACAATGTATATAGGTTACAGGGCGTCAAGTTACAATCTATTAAAAATGTAATAGAATAAAAAGCGCGTATTTCGAATTTAAGAATATAAAAATAAATATTTTTATTGTAATGTGTGATACTTATAATAAAATACGAAAAGAAAGCTAAAGTTATTGCGATCGACTTAAGTTATAATAAGTATATTCGCATTCAAAAGCTATGTTCTTGCGTTTAGTTTCAATTCTTTTTATTTCAACTTTACAAAGTTAATTCAATATTGAATTTGTAAATAATGTTCTATTCATTTTGGATTTGCATTAGCGGTTCAAATTTATAACAACAACCAGTATTCAAAAATTCACAAAAATTCACAAGACCAAGCAATCAACAGTCAGCAGACAGTAATAAACGACAAGGCGGGTTACAGACTAGACTGGATAACAAACATACGGTCTTAAATTGTTGCTAAACATGAAAAGTTGCTATCGAACTGCAAGGCAGTTCAGAGTGTGCATGATTTGAGGTCAAATTGTATATACATATGTGCACCATACGTATACAAGGCACTCATACAATTGCACTCTAGAAGTCGTAAAACTCAAACATAGAGAGCACACATGAACGCTGTATCCAATTTTCACCTTCGTTTCATTGTGATATCCAAAACAGTTGAAGATCACAAGTACCTAAGCGTGCAATATACACAAGGAGGTCTGTGAATGTGTGGTCTACTTACATTAAAAACACTAGACTGGATTAGTGTTAGTAGGCGTTAGCATAAGTTAATTTTTAGATATTTAGTGGTATGTCTAGAGGTCTAAAACAAATTTTTATATAAATTGAACTGAAGTTAGAGAACGTATTCACTTCATATCAGTACTTGGTGTTGAAAGGAAATAGAGCTCAATTCATTATGTCGTGGAAGGTGAGACTAAAATGAAATTTGTTTTATTTTTCTTTTGACTTATTATTTCCTTATTTTAATTAGATCTTAGCAATTCTGTTCTGTATGGTCGTAGTGGCGAGTGCACAGCACCACTACAGCTATAGTCATGGTCACGAACATGAAGAACACAAATATGATGACCATAAGCACGAAGAGGAACACGATCATGGTCCTGCACATTATGAATTTCATTATTCTGTGAAAGATCCTAAAACGAAGGACATTAAGAGTCAAAAGGAATCTCGTAAGGATCACAAAGTCGAAGGTTATTATGAACTAATCGACTCCGATGGACATCATCGTATTGTACATTACAAAGCAGACAAAAAGACAGGATTTGAAGCTAAGGTTGAACGTAAACCAACCAATATCAAGGTGCCAATTCCCAAGATCTCCTATGAACATCACGATGATCATCACTATGACCATCACGATGACCATCACGAAGATAATCATCATCACTATTATTCACATCATTGATAACCTATTTGGAAAAGCTTTAATTTTTCGATCATCATCTCCTCTCAGAAACAATTATACATTTGTACATAATTACTTATTTCGTTTTAGTTAAGCTAAGCAAATTATTAAGAGCATGAAAGTCTATAAAGGACAATGCTGGAAGTTCTTATAGTCAATTTCTCAGTAATTTGTGGTTATACATTATATACTATATGTTAAGAGTAATTTATATGGAATTAACTCTAATACAAAATGAAACTGAAATTACTAAAAAATATTTGTGTTATTTTAACTTATTTGCATTTTACCTAGTGATGAATTCGTCATTTGATTATCAGAAATTTTGTCATTTGTACTGAAATGCTGCAATGGGCCACAAAATAAGGACTTATAATTTGTTTCGATCGGATAGTTGTATGAGAAAGTCAACATTAACATATTTTTAAAATGCACTTTAAGTATATATTTTTAGTTTGATTTTTCAATATTAACTTTAGTACAATTATATATGTAACATATATCAATACTCGTATTGAATGCAGAATTTTTGTTGTAGTATATTACATTAAAGCTCTTTAATATAGCTTTCGAATTTCAAATTCTTAAATTTGCAAAGCTTACAGGACTGGCATTGGGAGCGCATTTAAATGAAGAAGAATATTAGTTAATATTGCATTAATATAACTGATTTTATAAATTTAAATGCCTTTACTACACTGATAGAAAGCATGTGAATTCATACAAGTTCTTTCAAAGCTCTATCTTTTAATTAATAAGGTATATATAGGCAGTACTCATTTAGCAAGAACATTACACAAACACCGACAGTTATGAGCTAGACATCACTACTAGACGAGGGCGTCAGTGTCTCAATAGTACATTCTTTGCAAAGGAAATTGTCGAGTGCTTTGATCAGAACATATATGTACATTTTCTAATCAAGACACTAATTAGGTGTCTCTTAACTAGCTTAAATTTTACTTTTAACAATAAAAAAGTACTAACTCACACGTAATTTCCATGGACTTGTAGAAAAGGTGATTGGTTATCACCGTAGATAAAGAAGTAGCTGGTACGAAAGTATCGTGACGCTACCATAGAGAAAGACGCAGCATATCAAGCCACCCTGCGGTCAGTTGCGACGCGTGCTGCTTAAGAACGATATCGGCAAAAGAGAAGGTTATAAAAACGACTTTTCAGGCGAAAAAAAAAAACAGAAAGACGTGAGTACGAAGAGCTTGCGAAGCTGCGCGTCAGGAGTATGACTCGAAAATTCTATCAAAAAACTAAAACCATGACAAATGGTTATAAACCCGGAGTTAATTCCTGTAAAGATGAAAATGGTAATCTGGTGATAGATGTCCAAAGCATGCTTAACATTTGGAGGGATCACGTTTCGAACTTACTAAATGGCGGTAGTAGTAATGTGACTGAAAGCGTATGTTAGATGATCTCAAATTTGCAATCGTTGACGATGAAATAATCGTTTACAGCAAAGCCGGGGTATAGTAATTCTTGGTGTTAACTGAAATACAAGTGACATTGAATGGCATGCTGTTATTTTTTCATATTTCTGCATTACTAAATTTCTTGGCACTAAAACGCAATAATTTTAACAATTTTGTATTAAAATCTGAACACAATCAACGAAAGTATTAAACGGACCTTAATAATATTTTGTTCAAGTTTCGCAACCCCTACGAACATTATTTTCGTTTTCATTTCAAGCAATCTGTTTTGATATAATTTCATTTTTTAAATTAATTTGTTACAAATTTTAAAAAAGCTTTATAAAGTCAATTATTTCTGCTTCCCAATTAATAATTATTTTCAATTCTTTAATTTAATAAATTTAAATTATTTATCAATAGGTTTTCCGGAAGTAGTGAACTACAACAACAAAAATTAATTTTATATTATTTTAATTAATTGAATTTCGAATATTGCCAAATACCCATCATCAGTGGCCTTAGAATTATTTTTTGTATTTAATTATTCGTACATCATTTCTTTTTTGAGACTGCAAGTACTCGAAACAGCTATATGGTCAGCCAAATAGATCAAATGTTATAAACTTAATCAAATTGTACTACAAAAAACAACTACTCACCCATTTGCTAGGCGAGAATGGCACAAATTTGGAGTTAAAAATAAAAAATTTCAATTTAAGAAAGGATATTCAGGTTCTAGTTATGTCCTGGGAGAAAATATCCTAATCGAATATTAAGAAGTCTTGGGAATACCTTGCGAATGAAGCAAAGAAGACAATATGCAATTAAATATTTCACAAAATAAAATTCAGAAAGAAAACGCAAAACTTTCAACCATTGTCGCATTTATAGCTGAGATTAGTCCGGAACATAACTTCACAGAGGTTGACATAAACAACTGGATTCAAGAGGAATATCCCGTAGTAAGT